GTCAGGATGTAAAGTAATATATATATATATATTTTTTAAATGAAGATTTAAAAAAAAAAAAAATCCAAATAGAAAAAAGTAGAAAATGCAGAGATGTATACCCTAAATTGTCATTCAGCCAAAAATAAAGAGATGATATATTGGCAATATCACCCAGCCCTATGCCTACCTGCTCTACTCTGTGTTATTGATTCCTAACAATCTCTGATCTGTCACACATCCCTGTCATGTGTAGTTAATCCATCCTCTGCATGGTGACGCATTTATAGCACCATATATGGTCTGATCTGCATCACGTCATTCCCAGTCTGTGCCTGATTTTGATCCACAGCAGCGATGTCGCTTCAATAATAGTCTGTCTGCGTATAGGAACATTCTGGCCGAGTGTTCCGGCTCCAATTCGATGAGTTCCAGATCATCAGCAGCTCCCACGATGACACTATCCTTATCTGGGACTTCCTCAACGTGTCAACCAATGGGCAGACGGAAGGACGATCGCCGTCCCGCACGTATACCTACATATCCAGATAGCAGGTAACGCATGTTTTTGACTTGTACGATTTCGTTTCAAATTCACACACGTCAAAATTAAAACTAACTTGCATGCATGTGATCTCTTGACAGGGAAGCTCTGGTGGCGTGTGTGCGAGTGTGTGTGGGAACTGTTCGGGTGACCCAGTCTCCGTGGAAGTGTGCCAGGATCAAAGGTCGAGGAACGCCACCACCACCCCCCTCCCCTTCACCCTCCTCTCTCCATCTGTCCGTTTTATTTCTCCCCCTCTTCGGTCATACTGAGGGCCGCCCCACAAAACACAAACTGCGTCAAGTTCTCTTTCTCCCTCTCTGCGGAGGAGGAGGTGGAGAAACGGTGGAGAGAGCGATGCCATTAAGCAGAGAACCTGAGGGTGGGCGTGGAGCCCCCCTCTCACCCCCGCCACTGCGTACAGGGTGACGGCTGCCCCGGCTCCGCCCTGGGCCCATGAACTCTGTATCTATCTTTTGTTTGTTTTGTTTTTGATTTAAAAAAAAGAAACTAAAGGGAGAAGGCAAGGTCTGAGTGCCTTCCTTCCCTCAGGACTGTTCTGCATGAATGAGCGAGCGATGGGACGTATAATGTGTGCTGGTCAACTCCTCGGTTTCTGATTTTTTTTTTTTTTTTTTTTTAAATGCTTTTCCTTTTTTTAAGTTGGGAAATTGACTTCATATTTTTTTTTTTCTTGTGAAATCGTATGAATAATTGTAGTTTTTGACTTCTCCTGATATGTCCTTCCATTTCTCGTTTTAGCGCTGTCCGTCTCGTTCCCCTTTTCATTGTCTGCTCGTCTAGGTTCTGAAGACCCATAACTGATCTGAATTTAGTTGTAAACCGAAATGTCTTGTCTAAAATGGTGTTGTATATTGCAAAGATTTTTTTAAAGAAAAAAGCGTTATTAATAAGAATAAAGTACTTGACTGTGAAGGAGTGTTAAGAAGCTTGCACAAGCGCGTCGTGTTTTTAGTGTGCGTGTTCGTACGCATGATTCGCCCCTTTGAGATAAAGGCTTTCCAACAGGCCCGGATTTAAGTAACCTGCCGTGATGGCTGCCAAGACCTTCCAAAAGCGCAGGGCCGCTGTTCAAATATTTAAGTTTACCTCCTGCTCCGAATATGTGGAAATTGGCAGTCCTGTCATTTTCGTCTTATGATCGCCACCATGGCAACAGCCACAATACATCATTTCAGCACTGTAGCGATTTAAAAATGTTTGAATGCAGAGCAATATTTTAGTCTTAAATCTCAAGAGTCGCTGTATTCTGATCTGTGCGAACTGCAGAATGGAATTCCTTTGGAATAAGGCATTAGTATGAATGATGGTAGGCTACTGTCAGTGTGAGACGCAAGGGTGGACTTGAGACAGATGGAGACATTATAAAGAGGGAGGATCAAAGTCATTCTGAATCTGCAGAGGGGGAGAGAGAGATGACTACTGCCCAATATAGGTGATCAGGAATGTAGCAGACGACTAGATTACAGACAAACCCTCAAAACAGTCCTCGTGCTCATTATTGAGGAAACTTCTGACTAACTTAGTTCTGCTTTCTTATGACTAGTTAAACTAGCTCTTGTATATGAGATGGTTTGCAGTCCGTTTCCATGCAAAGCTAGTGTTTGAGTTTTGGGGCTGTAGTTTATACCTTCTGGGTCCACCAGGTGGCAATAAAATAGTGTTGGAGATGCAGTGAGTTTTGACCCCAAAATACAAGGTGTACTAAATGTGTCATGGAAAGATAACACCCGTTGATCAATGCATCCACAAAATAAATATTTTAATAACATGAATAGTATCAAAATATCTCTCAAGATTTCACCAGCCCCAAGTGGTTTAGGGACAGAGTAATTTGCAACAGTTACAGCAACGTTTTGCATTACAACACTTGCAGGGCTGGACGCTCCGAGGTCAGTTTGAATAACTCTGATATATTTAACTATCTAGAGTGAAAATCAACTCCCGTTGTGGCCTGTAATGGATACTTTGTTTTGAAAAAGCCAGGAGCGTCAGTGTAGATCAGCGATTGGCCAAATATGACTTATAGGCTGTCTTTCAAAACGTTCAGCTCTAATGGATATTATACTCTTTTTAGTAGTCAAAATATTTAATTTGTCATTCTGTGCTGCTAATACACAACAGTTCAAAAGTTTGGGGTCATTATATATATATATATATTATATATACTAAACGGTAACGCTTTACTTGAAGTGGTGTGCATAAGACTAACATGACACCTTCATAATCATGACATGACACATGTTATGAATATGAAGGAAGTTTTATGCATGTTTGTGACAACTGCCATTAAGTGTCATTCGCTCAATTATGACATTTTTAATGCAAATATGACATTGTTTGAGATGTCTTTATGACACCTTGACATAAACCAATACATCATAACCTGTCAGTGTCTTTGTCATGACAACTTGACATTACTAAGACAACACAACCTGTCATAAACATGACATAGCAGATTAATTATCTAACTTAAGAAACCACTTAGCTTTATTGGTTAACATTACATTAAACTGTCAGGTGGTTGGTTTTGACATTGACTGTCATGAAGCCATTATAACTGTTTAATGACAAATTCAATTTGTACCACTCTAGTTGAGGTCACGAAAAATATTCATGACACAGTTATAATACACTGATGACAGCCAATGTCAAAACCAAACACATGACAGTTTAACTTAATTTAATGTCAAGTTGTCATGACAAAGACACTGACAGGTTATGGTTTATGTCAAGTTGTCATAACAAAGACATCTTAAACAATGTCATATTTGCATTCAAAATGTCATTATTGAGCGAAAGACACTTAATGAACATAAACATGCATAAACCCTACTTCATATTCATGACATATGTCATGTCATGGTTATGAAGGTGGCATGTCAGTCTTATGTACACCCCTTCAAGTAAAGTGTTACCTATTAAACTTTCATTTAGCCATTAAGCATTGAATTGATCAAAAGTGACTAACCTTTTTAATGTTACAAAATATTTCTATTTCAAATAAAAAGCTGTTCTTTTGAACTTTATCAAATAATCATGAAAAAAAAACATTTATCACAGGTTTCTTAAAGCAGCACAGCTGTGTTTAACATTGATAATAAGAAATGTTTCTTGAGCAGCAACTCCGCATATTAGAATGATTTCTGAAGGATCATGTGACACTGGAGACTGGAGTAATGATGCTGAAAAGTCAGCTTTTCACAGGATCACATTACATTTTAAAATAGAAATGGTTATTCTGAGTTGTAATAGTATTTTAATATTTTGTAATATCTTAAATGATAACAGAATTACAGTTTTTACTGTTTTTTTTTTTTATTTAAAGACTTCCTTCAAGGTATGTTAAAACGACAGCGATGTACTAAAAACATAAACGTCGTTTCTTTGCGTTTTTCGTGCACAGACGACAACGTTGTCAAAGCGATCCCCGTTCACACGGATCCGCGAAAACGACTAAAAACGCTGCATTCATGCCAGGCCAGTAGTTGGTGAATCGATGTTAATGTGTAAAGAAACACTACGTGCCTAATAGACCTTATTCTCAGCATCTTGGACTGTTAACGGGAATGAAAGCGAGGCTGTGAGGGATAGACATGCATCTCTTCAGTGGGCTGTACTGTTATTTAATGTGTCTTTGGATTGTTCAGCTGATGAAACACTGCACAAATATCTCTGACAAACTTCAGTAGACAAAAAATCCCAGACAATCCCCTGTAGAAAATCATAAGTGGTCTAGGAGCTTTTTATAGTGGATGCCATTGAAAATACTTTAGCTCTATCCCTCACATCCTGGCTTTCATACCTATAATGCCGCTGACGTCACAGTTTTTACAAATTCGTTTCTTTGTAGTTTACACCGAGACGATAATGGTATAGTTCTCAGGCCGCCAGAATGCCGTTGCCGTGTAAACGAACGGCCAAAACACACAAAACAATTTTTTAGTTGAAAACGGCGTAGTGTAAATGGCCAACGCATTCTCATCCTAGGGCGTCATATTTGACATATTTTGACATTTTGTCTACATCCAACGCACATGGCACCCTTTAGCGTCAATATGAGACGCAGATAGATATGGGTAGGTTTAGGTTAGGGTTAGACCACTAGGAGGCGCCTTCTGGCCCATATATATATGTGCGTTGGATGTAGACGAAATGTCAAAAGCGTCAGTATATGACGCCTTGGGATGAGACCCTAAACTTTTGAATGGTAGTGTATTTCGCTTTCTTTAAATGACACTTTATTTCATTGGTTGCTGGTTCCTTCAACGCTGATGAATATGAACGACCCTCGATGCTCCTGGTGAAGTATCTGAGGCAAAACCAAAGGAGGCTCCAAGAAGTTTTTCCTGACTGTGATAGACTTTGGTTCTTGGTTACAATCTCATAACTCTTACAGGGCCAAGGCTGGCATTTTGATGAGTAAACAGCAGGTCCTTTTTAACTGTCCCATGAGCATCCAAGTCGGGTAAGTCTCAGCTGATGCGCATCATGACGTGCACTTGTCAGTGTTCCAGCCATAGAGTGCTTTGCTCTTTCATGGTGGGACAAATCTGTGGCACTGGACATTAGAGGGGAATTCTTTGGAATTCGTGCTTGGTCCCCTTATTGACAGGGTTTAGTGACTGGACACTTGCCCAGGAGTCTTTGGTTATGTTTGCATGATTACACAGTGTTTAAGCAACCCCGTCCTTTGACTGTGACTGCGAAGAGGTCGGTCCTAAAGTCTAACCTACTTGCGTTTCAAAGAAGAGCGTCTCTAGATCCTCTGTAAGAAGGGATCTTTGCGCACAAGTGTTTGTTGTGTTATGGGAGTGGTGGAGGAGTGGTGGAGGTCTGCTGGACTCTTTTGCTTCTCTTGCTGACTGTTGTAAAGCTGCAGGGCTGCAGGTCGGGCTGCTCTCCTGGAGGGAAGCGTTTCATGAAATGCACGTCTCGCTGGTTGGGTAACGTGTTCGGGCCCCTGCGCGGTCGGCCCTTTTTGGTGAAGCCCACGTACCAGCCCACGTAGCGCGCCGACATCCAAGCAGTGTAGTTATTCTCAAGCATTATCTCGATGAAAGCGCAGCCTCCGTTTACGCTGCTGTCTTTCTGAAACGGAACAAAAATCTCACTGGAATCATTGTGGGGGTTTTTTGCCAGCTTTTTCAACAACCGCTCAACAAAGATGTGTAATTTTGTAGGGCTTTCACATTGATAAGTTACTTCTGGTTATGGTTTCAAATCATTCAGTCTGAACCCTTTTCCGAATGGGAATGATTTAAAGGATGTAGGAGATACAATATTAAGTACAGTAATTGTTCAGTGACTTGCCTTCCCCACAAGCTTCCCCTTACGGTTCATGCACAAGTAGTAGTTGGTCTCTCTCCCTCGTATTCTCACTTGACTCCCAAAGGTGTCGGCCTCCACCACGAGCTGGGCTTGTGAAGAAACACAAAAAGACAGACGGACAGGAATATAAACAGGACGTAAATTATACTTACAAGCAATTATGTATTGTCGTAAAAACTGAATTTAGCAAGGCAGCTGTAATTGGCTGTTTTTGTTTTTTGTTTTAAGGCTGTAGTGCAAAGGTATGTTAATGGTTGTGGATATAATGGTATAACATTTATTTAATATAGATTTATTCATGCATATTAAATTGGTATGATTTTTTAAATGTTTTCTGCTGACCAAGGCTGCATTTATTTGATCCAAAATACAGCACAAATAATATTGTGAAATATTTTTTACAATTTAAAATAATTGTTTTCTATTTGAATATTATTTTTAAATGTAATTTATTCCTGTGATGCGAAGCTGAATTTTCAGCATCATTACTCCAGTCTTTAGAGTCACATGATCCTTCGGAAATCATTCTAATATGTGGATTTGCTGCTCACGAAACATTTATCAATGTTGAAAACTGTTGATGAATAGAGTTCAAAAGAGCATTTATTTATTTGGAATATATCTTTTTTTTAACACAAAAATGTCTTTACTGTCACTTTTGATCAATTTAATGCATCCTTGCTGAATAAAAGTATTAATTTATTTCCAAAAAAAAATAATCTCACTGACTCCAAACTTGTAAACGGTAGTGTATAATGTTACAAATCTTCCCATTTCAGAAAAAATGCTGTTCTTTTGAACTCTTTTCGACATTGATAATGAACTTCATCAAATAATCCATCAGTTTTCTAAAAAAATATTAAGTTCTACAACTGTGTTTAACATTGATAAATGTTTCTTGAGCAGCAAATCATATTACAGAATGAATTCTGAAGGATCATGTGACACTGAAGATTGGAGTAATGATGCTGAAAATTCAACTTTGATCTTAGGAATAAATCTTAAAATATATTCACATAGAAAACAGTTACTTTAAAGTGTAAAAAATATTTCACAATAATACTGTTTTTGCTGTATTTTGGATCGAATAAATGCAGCCTTGGTGAGCAGAAGAGACTTTTTTTTAAAAGCATAAAAAAATCTTACCAATCTAAAACATTTTATATAAATTCAGAATATTAAATATATTTAATTATGTACATTATAATTATAATATGTATCGCACACAAGCGCATATATATATATTTTTTTATCAGTCAGTTATTTAAAGAGTGTTAATCTAATGTCTTCGTAAATGTACAGGTAGGCTGACACATTCAGATTGTTTCTTACCATATTTGTCCCCATCCTCTCCCATGGCAGTGATTTTCTTGCCGAGCACCTGGATGTGTTTCCCGCTGGTCCGGCTGTATAGTTGGTAAACCCGATGGTGCTTCCGGCTCAGGCCATCCCGCACCCCTGTCTGATTCTCTACGTGAACTCCAAAGTTAACATTTTCAACTGCTAACACCTGCACAAACACAGGAGTCGGCCACAAATCACTTTTATTGATTTATGAACTATCAATTGATATATGGTTTTATTATCGGTAACACATTGCAGACTATAAGCACCTGTAATGGGCTGTAGAACAGTAACACGACCTGGAAGCATCTGGCCAAAGAGAAATAGAAAAGACACATGTGATTGTGTGACATTTACATTCATTTGAGTTGCTTTTCTAATCTATTTAGGGGAGAATAAGGTTGGTTAGCACACTTTTCATTCTTTGTTGAATATTTCTGGTGAATCAAACTATACTAGATAGCTCTATAACTCAATAACTACTAGATTTAAATGAAAGCTCAAGTCTTGAGGTAAAAAATAATCCATATAGTATAACAAAATATTTCCTCATTTTTTAAAATGTATGACTATATTTATTGTAGGGTTGGTTAGCACAGTGTTAAAAACTACAGTTTTAAGAGGGAGGCAACAAGGAACAAAAAAAATGAAAATGTTTATTTGAACCCAAACTAACACCACATGTGAGTGTCTGCCTGTATTTAAAGATCAATGTTCAGGTCTGCTATGAATTGTTAATAATACTTTGTACATATGCCAACCAAGCTCACTCCCTCTCTTTTCTTAAATGATGTCAGCCAGGCATCATAATGTATCACAGGCCTTCAAATTTTATACCATAATATAATTGCTTCCAATCTTTATTAACCAACATTTATATATGTTGTATCTTCCTCTAATTATTTTAAATCCTCGTTTTAGCTGAATGGGGTTAAGGGCTTTTTGTTTAGACATAAAAAGTCATATAAATACCTCACCTTCGCAAGTTTTAATCTATTAATGATCAAACACTCACATTTTGTGACAGCACCTGATTATGACCCATCAATGAACACTGATCCAACCAATTCAGGTCTCTCCTATTTTATGAACACTTATTCAACAAAGTATTATTACTGATTTTAATATATGGGTAAATGGGATGCTTTTGTGTGGATCTATTACACTGTTAAAAAATAAATCTGCAATTATTTATAACAACTTAAAATTTGTTGAGATAACTTAAATATCCAACTTAACTAAAGTTAACTAAACTTAATATTTTAAGTCAAGCACAAACACATTTTTTTAAGTTGAAACAACACATTATTTCTTATTCTAATGTTGAATTTTAAGTTGTGATACATAATCACAGAAATCATTTTTTACAGTGTATTAGCATTACAAAATAAAAGCTAATCAAATATGCAATGGCTTGAATACACCTAATGTATGATGGAACATGTTTTCAATTTCTGAATTCACATAACTTTGATCATTTTTCTAGCGCTTAAAGTAAATGTCTAAGTGGTGTAACTGTCTGGAGATTTAAAAAGCTGAAATACTTGAACATTTTTGGCATAAGTAGTTTGGTATAACATTACTGCTTATATATATATATATACTGCTTACTGCTTACTTTACTTTAAGCAGTAAAGTAATTGTTATTTTAAATTGTTATTAAAATATTGAAAAGAAAAATCTGGCCACTTAATTAAAGTCACTGTTGTGTAACCAAAATGCAGGAAGCCATTTTGTTGCAATGTGTCAAGAAAAACATAAAACAGAAGGGAAACCTTTATACTGTGCCAAAAACAATCAATTTTGACATTTTAAGACATTTTTTTCTGGGTCAAATGGAGTAACCAATAGCCTATTTGTGATATTCATAACTATTTTTTTTTTTTTACTTTAAAAATAATATATGTAAAATGTTAGTATTTTGTAGCAAATTAGACAATAATTAATTCTTCATTTTTTATATATAAATATATATATGTATATATATATATATATTAATTTAAGACATCCTTATTTGTAATTGACCGACACATGATTTTTATAGAACAGGGCAAGCAGGATTCAGACATAGAAAGTCTCATCATCATCATCATCATCATCAGTTGTGTTATCTGAGGTGACTAGGTGGGACATGTTATTATGAGAACACAGCATCTGCTGAGTCTATGTCGTCTGAGCCAGAGATGAGAAACACAACAAATGCTCAGGCTGGACCTATCAGTAGATGGAGACTAACCAGAAAAAAAGCCTTCAACTCATACTGAATGATCTTACACGTGAAACTTACAGCAGGACAGCAGCGGACAGGATGGACTGCATCGCTCCAGCGCTTCAATCACCCCGGACAGTGAGATCTTTGAGGCGATGGTTTTAAAAACTGGAGCCAAAACCGGACACAGACCCAGGTGAGCATCTGAGCGCGCGTTGGAGGATTGTTCAGAGAGAGTCTTCTCGCGAGCAAACCTGTTCAGATGGACACTGGAGAACGACAGGTGAAAAACAGGTCATCCTCCTGTGTGACCCCACACTCCACATGACACACTGACAATAGATTGATATTAAAAAGCTTCCCAGTGTTCCTTCTTGCAATATCCTTAAGAACGCTGCTGTCTTCACACAAAAACGCAGAATTCAGGGGTCCTCCTGCCCTTTAAGAAGTCTTTGCTAGATTTTCTCCTTTTCCAGGCTTCTTTTGTTTGGCTGTGGGGTGGAAAGGACCCCTCTCTCGCCACAGGACAGTGCGTTTGCTGAATGAGAAGGAAGCGCAGCTGAAGTGGAACGGAGATGGGCGGGGTGCGCGGCGCGCAGGGGCAGGGATGGTGATGGGACGATGTTTCTAGCTCACTTATCATCACCAAGGTGGGGCGATGCAAGAGAAGCGGTTCGACCGTCCAGTAATAACCTAAATGAAAACTTTCAGCACTTTAAAACTGCTTACATAAACCGAATGACCTTTTAATAGGAATCGTAAATGGAAAAGGTTCGTGAAAGTATGGACGTCCCGTTTAAAAGTGCATTCAGTCATATTTGTTTGCTAATTAAACTAAATTAATTTTGTTTTTAGAAATACCATGTGCGATAGAGACTCCAGTCCTGTCAGTCATGTGGGAAAAAAAAACTGTTTTATTCTACATGGAGCGGCGCGCCCCCTCATGGTCGCCGCCATGTTGACATTGACATTGCCGTGGCATGCTGCACAAACCAACTAATAGGCTACAGCCCGCAAATACAATCATGAAAATCTGTTGTGATTAAATCTAATGTCCACTCTATGGACACATGTGTAGTGTAAGATTGAGAAAAACAAATGAGCAGGAACGAAACGATAAAAAAACACAAGTTTGTTTACGAGCAGCCGTTAGCAAAGAAACCTCATGCATCCACACCAACAGGTGTCAGTATAAATTCCAAAAACACTGGTAATGTTGGGGCAAATAAGAACCAGCTTAACCTAAACAAACACTTACTTAGTGCATCCTTTACAAATGTGATTTCTGTACAGCCTATAAAGGAGTCCTGAGCAATATTAGGCCATATTTGAACACTTCAAAATAGAAGAGAGGGTGTGAGAGAGGTATGTAAGCAACAAGTCGTTCCAAAATTAACATTTCACAGGGATTTCAGAAACACAGCCCGCCACCCCCCCCCCCCCCCCCCCCCCCCCCCTCCTCTGACCACGACAGAACCGCAGACACCAGGGTCAGCCAACAAGCGCCAGCGCTGCATGCTCCTCAACCCCCCTTTTCTCGCCCCAGCACCCCTGTGCCCCATCCGTGAGGAGCAATAGATGTGTGCAAGTGAAGGAGAGAGATGTAAATTAGCGAGTAACTAGACAGGTCATGGGCCGCTTGGCGGTTTTTGAACATCCTAAATGAGCCGTGTCACATTTCCAAAATACAATAGCCTATCTCATTTCCTCTCACTTTAAAAATCGCATAATTTCCAGAGACAACAAACATTTTTGATTAGTGAAATGGTTTGATATTTTAGCTCCACTGGAGAGTATACTGAGCAATTAGCAGGTCATATAATGACTTGACATTCAACGTATACACACCCGGGTGTGTGAACAGCCATATTAGACTGAATTAGGAAGCCTGGTTGACTGGATCACACTCACCGTTGTGAACTTGTGATTGTATAACCTTTTGTTCCAGCATTTCTCTGCTCTTTGTCTTTCAGTGTCTGGACTTCAGGCCCTCCACCCAGATTGAATTTTTAGATGAAGTCCAGAGATCTTCATGTGAAAGGTATCAAATGCACTTTCTCTCAGAATTCTTTGAATTTCAGAATAATCTGTTTTAGTTTTCTTAAAGGAACATTTTTGTTGATTGCCACACAGACGCACACACACAATTACTCATTTGTTGTTGTTTTAAAGAAAAAGTCAAGGTTACTTACGGTGTTCGAAATCCTTCAAAAAATCTGCCTTATTTAGTTCTTTTCAGAGGCACATACAATTGAGGTATTTTCTTCTTAAATATTGTGCATTATTTTAACTGTAAAGCTAATTATTTAATCATTTTTGTTTTAAGGTTTGTGGTTTATGGTGTTGCATTGTCGTAGCGTTGTAAAACTAAATAGGCATCTAACTGACTTTACAAAGAACAGTTTAAAAGGATAGTTCACTTCACCCAAAAAAGGACAATTCTCCCATCATTTACTCACCCCCAAACCTATGAGTTTCTTTCTTCTGCTTAACACTGAAGGTATTGAAGAATGTTGGTAACCAGACAGTTAATGGTAGCCATTGACTTCCAAAGTAGGAAAAAGAAATACAATGGAAGTCAATGGCTGACATCAACTGTCTGTTTACCAACCATCTGTAAAATATCTTCTGTGAATGAAACACAGGTTTTGGAAACACTTGATGGTGAGTAAATGATGACAGAATTTTCATTTTTGGGTGAACTATCCCTTTAAATATTTTATTAATAGTATTATATTAACACACAAACTGTGAATATACTATTGAAACAGTGAGTATTTTAACATTTATGAATTAGCCCACACACTCTCATGGCAATTCATAACTATTTTAAGTTTGGCAAATTTGTATGAATTAGTACAATCTCATTTATACAATCTGCTTACACCCAACTGTACTTCATGAATACTTTTTTTTGACAAATAGTTATGTTTTCAACCCAGATTTTTTTTTTTTTTTTTTTTTAGGAAAGGAGGGAAATGAATTTTTGTGGACGTCAACATGCTGTAGATTGATTATGTGATTTCTCAGATAGTGCTTATGAATATCAATATTTGAAATCAAAGGCTCAGTCAAAGCTCTGGCTGAATGGTTTGAATGTGTGCGCAGTCCAGAACCAAGCATAGTTCGTCTATTCTCTCAATGAAGTACCAAACTCGTCTTTTTTTTCATCCTCCACTCATTTCTCATGTCCAATTCTACCAGTTTCAGACAAAATAGGAGTTTTCCTTCTTCTGTTCGTCTCCCTCTGTCTCGTTCTTTCTCTTCCTTTTGGCTCATCTTCCATCTTTCCAGACTTTGAAGGGAGTTCAGACTTCTAATATAAGACAGGTCCTTACCACAACAAAGGAGTCAGCTTTGAGTTTGAATAAACACTTTCTCTCCTTTTTCTGCCTGTCTGTACCCCCACTCCCATTTTTCCTTCCCTGTGTTATTTCTCTCTTGGCCCGTGCTGAAGTATGAGCACTTGTTATGCGTTCTCCATGGTAGCCTTTTCTTCTGGAATAGATTAGCAGGGCCGGGGAGGAAGGGGAAGCGGCGGCAAAACCGAAGGGAGAAGAAGGTGTAAAAGGGAGTGAAGTGTGAAAAGAAAGGGACAGAGCGATGGAAAAAGGAAGCGAGGAGCTGAATAATGGAGGGAAAGGAGGATTGTGGAATGACAGAAGGAAAGAAGGTCACTGTAGGTAACAGAAACACGCTGTTTGGCTTGCGCTCGACGCCAAATCGTTTTTCTTTTGAAACTCAGCTGTGATGGATGTCATCATGCTGGCGATTGCGACCCTAAAACGCCTTTCCAAATACCTCGCGTGTTTTCGCTGCTTTCACAAGCCTGTTTTTAGCTTCTCCATGTCCTTACATATGCTGCATTATCATCTCTGGACTCTTTCCCTCACTCTACGGCTTATTAACCTGTACTCGGTCACTTCCCCGGCTCGCATTTGCGATGTATAACATCATGAGCTGTCATCACTCCTCTCCCCTTCCCTCTCTTTTCCCCTCCTCTGGTGTGATTCGGCTGGGTTAAAACCACAGGTCTCCTCTCTCTGTGCGCTGGCGAAAGCACATGACCGCAGCCACTGAACTGCACGTACGTAAATGGACATTCTCTACCTCCTTTCTGCATAGTGGAGATGGATTTGCTTTAGTCTGCCGACCACAGGCCTCTTGTGACCACATAGACACATACGCATGTAGACGCACTTTCATTTTCATGCATGTTTTGGAGAATATTATCGTCGCATTTTGTACTTTCAACACCTAATTAATCCAATCTGCCTGCAAAAGTGATTTTAGCACTGCCTAAAACAACTCTGAATCCAGAACGAACCATTTCTGTAAGTAGCAAGAGGAAAAAGAATGTGTGTGCGTTTGAATTGCTAATAGGTAGAACTGTTCCTTTGAGCTTTGTGGAAAAAGTGTTTAACATTCAGGCAGGGCCGTCCTCACAGACTGCCCGAATTCCTCAAATCTGTCAGCCATGCTAGCCAGCTGTCACTCACCTCTAATTTGCTACAACATCATTGACCTTAGGGCTCCTGGCAAATAAACATACACACATACGCTGAGAAAAAAAGAGAGAAAAAAAGAAAAATTTCTTGTCTTGTGAGGAGCAGTTTTTTGTGTGTGTTTTTTCTGATGCTGGAATGTTGGGTTGCATTATCGTCAAGTTTTGCAAGAGCTGTGCGGCTGCCAGGTGCCTTAGCAAACATGCTATTCTACAGAGGACGTCTGTATATTTTGGGGAACTGTTGTTTTAACCCAGCGGTTTGAGCAACAACATTGACTCAGAAGGATTAACTGCCCTGAAATCAAGAGAATGAAGGCTGAGATGAAATATGAGATGGATAAACAAAAATTTGATCAGGTGCAATCCATAACATAGTGTGTGTGTGCGTGTGCGCGTGTCTGTGTGTGTTTAAAAAAAATTTGATTTTAAATTTAAAATGTTGTTAGCTGTTCACGTAATCAGACACCAGTGTTACTATTTATTAAATATAATATTATTTACGGTTGCTTTAAGATATTAAAATGTAATACATTTGAACTATTTATTGAAATTAAAATGTCAATTAAATTTATTTTTCTCATTTAAGTGCCTTGAAATTTCTGAGGTTATTCATTTTAAAATGTATTATTATTATCTATATTAGTATTATTATTATTCACAAGGAAGCCAAAAACATATTTTAGTACAAGGACTACATATATTTAACTTAATATATTAGCTGTTTCCATATTCCGAAATCAGAAACATGCTATTCTCTCCTGGCCTACTAAACGGATGAAACATTTGATGTGAAACAGCTCTCATGTTTTCTAAAAAGAATGCATTTTAATAAAGTATCAGTGTAGGAGTGTTGTGTTTTATGCAGGTAGAGCAGTTGTTGTGAAAGACTAGATAATGAAATATAATGCATTTGACAGATGTTGGGAGGACACGCGCATGCACAGCCCTGCGGACACACTCTCTCTCTCACACACACACACACACACACACACACACACACACACGGTGAACCGTATCAAGGTCAAACCCTAATGCACCTACTGTGCGTTTGCCAGTCTGTGGTGCTTTCCTCTGGACTCCACCTGCAGATGATGTTGCACACACACTGAATGCTCTTAAAGCTCTCAAAGTTGTCTTCTCCATTGTTTTCCACCACATTATAT